TGCAATGCAAAAACACATATTGACGAGGGGTTGTCTGTGTGTCCGTGTGTCTGTGTGTGCGTCTGTACTGATTTTTCATCACAAGACCTACAGAAGCGACAGGGCTGAGACTTTGGGAACTTAATCTACATGCAGGTACGGGCCCCAGCCCCCAAAATGGACGCCTTTACCCGCGTCATGCACGAGCGTGCCAAAGTTCTTTACGGGCAAATTCATAACTCAGGAATCTAAGAAGTCGGAAAGCTGAAATCTTAAGGGGATGTTCCCCGTTAATACCCTCTTAATGAGCCCATACCAGCCTCCGGGTAAGCGTGGTACCCACGTATGGGCCCGCTAAAGTTTTTTTACGTAAGTGCTAAATCAGGCATCTGAGAAGCTAGAAGAGTGGAATTTTGAAGGGATGTTTCCTGACAGTCCTGGCGGCCAGTCTGAAATTTTTTTAGTTAGAAGCATCTGCCGGAAAAACCAGTGCCGTTAGCGACAAAAATCTGCGGGGAGCTATGCAAAAAACGCATCTTCGAACGGGCAGCTCGTGCGTTGGCCGATTATTAACTTTATCAATGCTGCGAGAGTAAGTTCCCTTCTAACGTATTTAATAAGGTGAGATAAAAAACATATTACATATTTGATATTAACAAGCTGAAGTCTAAAAATGCAAAACAATCAAGTTGGCGAGGATCACGCAGTAGTAAACGACGAAACGATGAGATGAATGGTACCCATGGGCAAATCCAGGCCAGATTCTTGGGGAGGGGGGAAGGTGACGGCAGGTAGGGGGAAGTGTGGGGCTCCTGCGGAGGGAGCGGGGACGGGAGGGTGAGGAGGAGTCTCCCCCTATCTTGGGACTGTGCGAAAACTAGGAATAGAGTTGTAGCACCGCTACTAAGGGTTACTTTTGGCTTTAGTTTACTTTGATTTTTAGCTTTAGACCCGGGCTTTTGCAGCACTGACGCCTGTGCCGCTGCAGGAGGCTTCTGCAGGGGCGAAAGACCGCCTACGGTGTTATCTACAATGCGTTAAAAGACAGCAGAGAAGGCAACCCAAAAGGCTAAGTCGACAAACTAAATCGAAAGTGTTGGAGCATTGTAGACGGGGAAGGGCTGAAACTTTGGGAACTTAATCTACATGCACGTACCGAACCCAGTTCCCAAAATGGGCGCCCTTACCCGCGTGGTTACCACGTACGGGCCCGCCAAAGTTTTTTACAGGTAAGCTGCTAACTCGGGAACCAGAAATGCTTGCAGGATGAAATTTTAAGGGAACGTTCTCCGTCCAAGTAGGTATTAATGAGCTCAAACCCAGCCTCCGACTGAGCATGGTACCCACATACGGGCCCGCCAAAATTTTTTTCGGTAAGTCGTTAACTCAGATACACACAGATGGTACACTCGGGAATTCCCCGTAACACAGAGTACATCAGAGAGACAACAGATTTCATTGTGATTCATTCATTCGTTTCGATGGTAAATTGGTACT